GGAGTTTGAGGTTGCTGTGAGGTAGGCTGATGCCTTGGCACACTAGCCTGGAGAACAGAGTGAGACTGTCTCAGAAAGAAAAAAAAAAAGAAAAATATTTTTTTTTGGAAATTAGAAATTTTAGCACATATAATAAACTGAACAGAAATGCTAGAAGATGAAGTTGAAGAAACTTTCCAGTCTTAGCACCTGTGGCTCAAGTGGCTAAGGCACCAGCCACATACACCTAAGGAGGCGGGTTCGAATCCAGCCTGGGCCCGCCAAACAATGACGGCGGCAACCAAAAAATAGCCGGGCACTGTGGCAGGTGCCTGTGGTCCCAGCTACTTGGGAGGCTGAGGCTGGAGACTCGCTTGAGCCCAGGAGTTGGAGGTTGCTGTGAACTGTGATGCCACAGCACTCTACCCAGGGGGACAGCTTGGGGCTCTGTCTCAAAAAAAAGAAAGAAAGAAAGAAACTTTCCAGAAAATTAAAGAATTAAAAAAGAAGATAACTGGCTGGGAACAGCAGCTCATACCTGTAATCCTAGCACTTAGGAAGCCGAGGCAGGTGCATTGCCTGAGCTCACAGTTTCGAGACCAGCCTGAGCCAGAGCGAGACCCCATTTCTAAAAATAGCTGGGTGCCGTAATGGGCGCCAACTAAACTGCAACAACAAGAAACAGCCAGGCCAATGTTGTGGTGGGCACCTGTAGTCCCAGTTACTTGGAAGGCTGAGGCAAGAGAATCGCTTAAGCCCAAGAGTTTGAGGTTGCTGTGACGCCACAGCACTCTACCAAGGTCAACAAAGTGAGACTCTGTCTCAAAAAAAAAAAAAAAGCAAGAAAGGCAATAAAATTAGAAGACCAGTCCTGTAAATCTAACATCCAAATAATAAAAGCTAGAGGAAGAGAGAACAAAGAAAAGGAAGAAAGCACCAGCACAATAAAATCATTCACAAAATTCTCCCATAACTAAGGTACATGAGTTTCTAGAATAAAAAGAGAATATTCAATGCTCAACAGAATTGATAACATTGTGAAATTTTAGATAGTTGTTAACAAAAGAGATTCTACAAGAGTCCAAAGAGAGGAAAAAAAACAATACAAACAATCACAGACCAAGATTCAGAAATCAGAATAATTCAGATATCTCAACAAAAGCAGAATAAAAAGGGCAAAGGAGCAATGCTTTCAAAATTCCCAAATGAAAACAATTTCCAGTCTGGGATTCTAAAACCAACCAAACTTGTAATCAAGGGTCTGGATAAAATAAACACAATCTTAAACACATTTTCAAAAAAAAAATAAAATTACCTCCCAGCCAGGCAAAACAGCCCACACCTATAATCCTAGCACTCTGGGAGGCTAAGGCGGGAGGATCGCCTGAAGCCAAGAGTTCAAAATCAGCTTAGGCAATTTAGGAAGACCTCATCACTGCAAAAAAAATTTTTTAATTAGCCAAACACAGTGGCACATCCCTATAGTTCCAGCTACTTGGGAGCAGGGAGTTTGAAGTTTCAGTGAGCTATACTCATGCCACTGCACTCCAGCCTGTGAGACAGACTGAGACACTACCTCTTTAAAAAATAAAAATAAGGGGCTCGGCGCCTATAGCTCAGCCGGCTAAGGCGCCAGCCACG